ACGTATAACAATAAATTTACATATTCCAAGATTATAATTGAATGTGTTTACGAAGGAACACCACAACCTCAACATTTAACATTACAATATATTTACTCAAGATTTATTGTTTTCATATAGCACAGTTGATGTTGCCAACTAGCGTGGGAGCGGAAGTCCTGATAAAGGCTGGTTCTCGGAAAAGTAATAAACTTGTAGTTTGAATGAAACATTTTTTTAATTTTGTACAGGATTCATGGGATCCTCAGCATCAAGTACAAACTGCAAAATGTGTGTCGAAGGTCTGATTAGACCTTCCGAGATTTAGACCTTCAGCAACTAATCCGTTTTTTACCTTCCTTTAATTTATTCTTTTTCATGTTGTGCTTCATGTAACATACATAGACCAGAGGGCCGCTCATGCCCTTGACAAATAAATTAACATTTTCGCACTAATACAAATCAATATCGTCATTAGACAAGAATTAAAGAATAAAATTTATAAACAAAACCTACCAAGACATATTCTTGAACAAGTATGCCTACAAACCTACGATAAGCATGTTTGTTATTATTATACTTAACCTACAAATGCTGACTTAGGGCATACCTGCTTTCCTAGATAAAACATGCGAACTAATTGCGAGTGCGACGTGAACTTAGAAAAAGACTAGTAAGAATTTACAACTGTGAATTTCTCAGAATTGATTGACAGTTCAGATGAACCTATGGCCACAGACTACGGAAACCTACAGTATTATTGTATTAGTATACTGTATTTGTATTATTGTGTTACTAGCAGAGTACCCGTCCTTCGTACGGGGTTGACATATAAGTATAAATGCTTATTGCAGTTATGGGAGAGGACACGATAAAAAAAAACAAAAAAAAACTGGTCTTTTAATTTATACGGTATCCTATTGAGTAGCACACATCTACCAAAGTCCTGATGTTCTACCACTGCACCTAGACCATGGAAAAAAGTAAAGTTCTCATTGTGTACCACAACTTTTTTTTGCTAGTTGGTTCAAATTAGCTGTGGTCATTAATGCAAACGAACAACATAATAGTGCTGCATCCTGTTTGGCAAGCCTTATAACTTTTAATGCTGTTTAATATCATAGAACCAACTTGTACAGTTGAAACGGCTGACAATATTCTTTAATTTCTTTTAATATGAATTCTCATAAGGTTAACTAGAGAAAGTCCAGAGCCAGAGCCACCGGGGCGGAGACTGAAAGAATTTTTGATGTAAGAATATTTTAATCGGGGATGTCATCTATCATCATACCAAATTTCAACCTTGTCGGTTTAGTATTTTTCGCGTTTGCTTGTCACAAACATCCATCCGTCCATCCATACATCCATGGTTTGCACTGTATACAAAAAGCTACCACAATAGTTTCAAACCGACAAATAGGAAAAATAGGAAAATATAAATAAATATGGAAAATAGGGTAATTTTCTAACATATTTTAGTGAAATTATATAATCAGGCAAATGGAAATTCAGTCTACAGATTTGCTGTGGTAGGGGGATTATATTACGGTTTACACAAAAATAAATCAAAACATAAACCTCATAACACTCAGGAAAAGGGCCTAGGTTGATAGGGCAATGATTATAGAATCTTAATTATTTCCTATATCCATGATGAATGATTTCTTTTAAAACGAATTATTCCCACTGTTTCACAGGAAACATTTTTAACCATTGTAGTAACATCATTAAAGCTTAAAAAGTTGATAGTTTAGATAATATTTAGCACATTTTACGGATAAAACTTTTTTGAATTCATCATATTATAAGTGTATGAAAATTCATATATCTGTGTATCAATATCTACTTATCTCATTTCTGTTCAATGGAAGTTATACAATTTCAATGATACCGGTACTTAAATGGGAAGTCTTACAGCTGTTATAAAACTGTGCATACATTTTATCTTACGAGTAAATTTGCTACCAATTGATATAGTATGACAATTCTATTCTACTGCAGTACTTAGAATTCTACCACTACTCACATTAAACCAACCATATTTACTTTTGGGCTAGTGATTAATTTATTGTATTAATCATACAATATAGTGAATAGTGTAGTCATTTATTTATTTCGTTTCTATGACATAGCTCTATTTTGTAGAAATCAATTATGCAATCATAACAACAGAAATACTGCATCATTACATTTTACAGTGACATAGTATTTATTTTACATATAAAAAATTTAAGCTAACACAATAATTAGTTCAATTAGAACCATTGAATATTGAATAATTTAAACATTAATCTAAGACAAAGCGGTTGACAACTTTCAAACAGTTGACTAGGACTAGTTGCCTTCAATAATTGCAATGCGAACTGTATGCACTGAGGTCGGCAAACAGTGTTCACAGTGTGCAGGCACTTTGGACGTCGTGGCACTTGGACGTCGTGCAACAGTGAAATATTGATTGGACGTCGTGCAACAGTGAAATATTGATTGGACGTCGTGCAACTGGCAGAGGCTTTGGACGTGGTGCAAATGATACTTCTTTACAATTCTACAGTGCGCTGTTTCACGACGTCCAAAGCTTGTAGAAAGACTATATTTTTGGCAGTTACTGTACTTTTGGACGTCGTGGCACTTGGACGTCGTGCAACAACTCAAAAATTATGTTTTGGACGTCGTGGCACTGGAAAAATATTATTGGACGTCGTGGCACTTGGACGTCGTGCAACACTCCCATCAGATGTGACGCCCCAAAACTCTATTCCGTACTGTAAAATACTAACAAGTGAGTTAGTAACTTTTAGTTATCAACCGAACAATTCTAAACTTGCAGTTTTAATACTGCCGCTTGTATCCAGGTTAATAGACCTACTAATGTTAGGCTCTCTGTTGATTGGTTTTAGAACATTAACAAAATTTACGAAATAATCATTTATCATAGATGTACTACTTAAAACTTCTGTTAGATCCACAGATGTACAGTACTGGCATTTAACCCCGGATCTTAAACAAAAAAACAAGTTTCTGACTGTAGTAGGTTGTTTACAGCCTTAACATCAATTGTCTAATTTTACTGTCTAAAAGAAAACCACATTCTTAAAGAAACCATAAAAATTAGGGTTGCTACACGTCCATATTTTGTACAGATAGTTTGTAGTCATAGGTCCAAGTTCAAACAATAAACATTTTCATAAGCAAATGCTCCTATTTGACGGATTTTTCAACCGTGATCTGAATTACTATCTAATCTGACCTATCTAAATTGTTTAGCAACTAACAATTTAATGGTACAGCATTTATTATGAAGCAAAGCAGGTAATATTATAATTATTTTCTCCTTTTTTTCTTATTTTTCTTCTTATCTTACCCACACACTACCAATATTAAAATTATTGGATTGACAAATTTAATTGCAAGTGTAAGTTCTACCATAGATAAAACATAGGTACTCCCTTAGTAGATTTTTTATCCTTGTGAAACAGCTGAAGACGATTTTATTGTTAGTTCTGTACGGTGTACTAAAGAGGTTGTGTTTTGTTTACAATTTGTTTTTTGTTATTTTAGTAATTTAAAACCTTGTTTAACCAAATAAAACAATCTAATCATAAACAATGACTCGTCTCCTAGTTATATAACCTAACAGTAAAGCACAAGTTAAGAAATTATTCCTGAAATAAAAGAATCAAAATTTTGACGACACTAGTGCCCAGTGTCACGTACATGAACTAGACACGAAAAACAAGCTTCAAAATTTACAATGGGATGAGAAGTCTACTTGTATTAGTTAAGGCCCGTTCACACGGGGCGAGTTTACAAGCTACACGCCAGCGTGTAAGAAGCCGGCGAGTTGGCGAGTGTGCTTGTATTCGTTCACACGGAGCTTGTCCACTCGCCAACTCGCAGAAGTGTAGAAAGACGCCGGTGAGTCGGCGAGTGCGCTTGTAGTCGTTCACACGATGCTTTTTCCACTCGCTCAGTAGCTGGCTTGAACCAAATCCTCCAACATCTTTGAGTAACACGCGCACAAGCACAAGCAACTGTGTTCACACTGGGCTAATTTACACGCCTACTCGCTCAAAAGCTGGCGAGTTGGCGTGTAAAGTAGCGGCAGCGTCAACTTTTTCCAGAGCTTTTTTACAAGCAGCTTTTGAGCGAGTACGTCCTTCACACTGAGCTATTTTACTAGCCACGTGTAAAAAAGCCGGCGTGTAGCTTGTAAACTCGCCCTGTGTGAACGGGGCTTTAGTCTATGGTTCTACCCTTGGGCCTACACTCTGTATGATGAAACCTGTCTCCTGACCCACCTGTGGACTGGCCAATGATTTAAGGGGTGGACCTTAATATTAAACTGCTTTGGTGAGAAGTTGTTAATTTATTGTTATTTTCATAGTTTATATTAATTTGTTGCTGAATGTTATTTCTTTGTTATGCTTTATTCTGTTATATCTGTTAGTCTGACAAGTACATTGTACTATTTCTCTTTATACTGCATATTACTTTATTTCTTATATTCTTTGACATTGTATGTAGCAATGTAATGTTGACAAATGACAATAAATGGATTCTGATTCTGAACCTACTTGATAAGATAGGTCAGGAGAGAGGTTCCATCATACAAAATTTACTCGTGTGTAAATGGACTCATAATGTAAGTAGTAAGGATCTACGATTAATGTTAACGTAATCCTGTAAATGTCATTTTTATGATAAATCATATACTTTGGGTAACAGCTTGTAAATAAAATGAAATTGAGTGCCATGAACAGCAATTTTAATTTAATTCTTTCCTGTTAATAGATTAACAGGTATTTTGAGACAAAATAAAAGACGTTTATTTTTTAAATGTTTTAATATTTATTTCCCCAAGAAGAATTCCACCCTTTGGTGGTGTTATTCCACACCAAAATTGCAGCCTTAGTTTGTTTGTATTTTGATCCACACAACCTTAGTACAAATCTATTACAAAATAAAACTAACAAAAATTCATTCTACAAAGTAATTAAAATTAATCTTATAAACACAGATACCTTTTATGTGGCTTGTCGTCCTGGGTTTCGCCGACAAATGCCTTCAGTTCGTAGTCCACTCCGCAAGGTTTACCCGTGTCTCCGGGGGCCGGTTGTAGCGTCACGGAGGCCGGACAGTGAGGAGGCAGCTCAAAGTAGAACGGGTAAGCGTTAGGCCCTAGCTTCTTCATCAGTCGTTCCTGTGTTATCAAACATTATTTCAACAGTCTGATTAATTGTTTACTAGCTAAACAAGTTTGTTTAGGTTCAAGTTTCACCCTTGATAGATAACGCTGCGCTACTTGTGGACATTAGTCAGCCACCAGTCTCGGTAAACTAATACCTGCACATTGTACTATAGCGTTGTGTGACTTACCAATTGTATATATTGAAAATTTATAAATATTTGACTAGAATTTTTTTTAATTTCAAATTTTTTAATTAATTAATCAATCAAAACATTTGTATTCTGTTTTATACATCAAACACCTACTTGAAATAGAGTCAAAGACTTATATTTGACCAGATTTCAATCTTGCTATTGACTGAGTAACTCCCAGATAATAAGTTAGGCAGTAGAATTTAAATTTCAGAGGAAAGACAATATATATATATATATACTAGTGGCCTGTAGGGGCCATAGCCCCTAATTTAGACTACATACAATAAAAAAAACCGTATATAAAAAGACAAATAGGTGTTCGAAATATGTTTTTAAAATTATCAATTTTATGTTTACTTAAAATTAACGGTGTTTCTTGTTTTATATTTTGGTTTTCCTTCCGTTGGAGTCGTATATTAGTTGATTCTGATGTGTCAATGAAATACAATTGTAAAATAATGATAAAATCAATAACACAACATATTAACAAAGGAAACGTGCACACGGTTTGGCCTGAGCCCGGAGAACGACGAATCAGAGCTGAAATCATACAGCCAAACATTGCACATCTTTTCTAGTTTAAAATTGAAGATTTGTTTTGTGATCTTACGAATTCTGTTATAGTTTCCATTAAGAACCAAATGCAAATGTAAAGGTTAAAATTATTATTAATTATTATGAAGGCAACTCCCCATTTCACGGTAGTAAGTCAGAAATATATCTATGAATTTGTCCCTGAATTTTAAAACAGTAAAGCCCATTTCCCGGAATCTCTTTTTGTGTAGCGGAAAGCGATGCAAAAGCCATTGCACTGTTGTCTTGCCTTATGTTTTTTATGAAGTTCGAATCATGTAAAAACAGTTCTTTTAGTACGTCATTTACTTGTGGTTGTGGCATGTCCATTGTGGCCTTCTCTGCGAATTGAAATGTGCCACAATGCATGCAAGTGCTTTAAGAGGACCTAGATTGTGAGAAACAACACTCAAGTCATTTTCCAGCGTTCTTCAAAAGACAGGTTGTATTTAAAACAGCTTCTGGATTTCTTTCACAGTTAGGCCCTACATGACATTCTCTTTTGCATTTCTTAAGTCTGTTGAATTCCTGGACACTCTTCCACGTCTTGCAGGTCTTCCCATACCCTGTCTAGTTACTTCACTCATTATAAAACGGAAAAAAATAAAAAAATAATCACAATTCATTTTAAACATTATTTACCAACATTGACTTTCGGAATAAATGTAAACATTGCAAGTAAATAAGTAACAGCTGATAGAATGCAGACTTTTTTCAGCCCCCATGCATTTCTTATGGTGGATATTTTACGTTATATCTCGTTTTCTGGTAACTTTATGGGAATTCTGCTATTTTTCCCGAGTCCCTGGGGTCAAGACCTTTAATTTAAGACCCCTCCCACTTTTCTGCGACTTACCAGACGTCCACAATTTTCTGGTAAAAACTTGGTCTTACAGAATCTATATAAATAAAATTAGAGTTTTGTCTGTACATTGCTTAGAATAATGAACTTTTTGGTTATTTTTACATTTCATAGGTCAGAGAAACCGAATCAAACCTTATCTCAATTTCTGTCTGTCTGTCTGTCTGTCTGTCTGTCTGTCTATCTGTCATTCTCTTGGTAACGCTAAAATACGCACTTTATTACAACTACTCCTCAATAACTATAACACTGTCCCGCCTGAAACTTATTTTCCAAATACTATACATATATGAGATGGTTTTAGACGTATTTCATCGAATATGAGACAGTTAGATATTTAACAGTAAACCCTTGAAAATCAAGTTTTTGTCGATTTTTGACGTGGAATTTCTGGAAGCCCATGTTAACCTTATGAGAAATGAAATTATTGAATCTTAACAGCTGTTTCAATTAAACAAGTTGGTTCTGTTCTGTGATGTTCAATAGCATTAAAGTTACAAGGATTACCAACAGGGTGCAGCACTAGCACTATTATTTCTTTTACATTTATGACAACAGCTAATTTGCAACCTGGAGGCGAGTGAGCGTAGCGAACGAGCTAACCTGAAGGCAAGTGAGCGTAGCGAACGAGCTAACCTGAAGGAAAGTGAGCGCAGCGAACGAGCTCCAACATACAGGTGAGTGAGCGTAGCGAACGAACTTCAACCAGGACGTGATTGAGCCATGCAAACGAGATCAGATAGTAAAAATAAAAGTAAGCCTACCGTTATAGGATCGACCGGCAGACACAGAGGTAATTTAACCTTTTATTGATTGTCATACCGATCCGGAACAACAAAAAACAACATAAAATGAAGCTATGTATAATAGTTTGGCCAGCATATCTTAAAATATGCAAACCAACTGCTGTTCGTTATATAAGAAGGTTTCAACTGAATATTATAAGATCCCCGTGCGTAGAACGGGTACACAGCTAGTTATATATATAGATATATATTTTTTTTCAACAATATACACACACAATATATTTCAACAATATATTTCAAAAACAACATATTTCGAATTATGGGAAGTTTGAAATATAGTTTAGTAGTTAGTGGGAAGTTTGATTTATAGAGGTCAGAATAAATACAATTTGAATTATGGAGTGTAGAGTGTTTGAGAGAACGGAGACTAATGAACATCAATAAGAGCGCCAGTTCATGTTTTAACAGGCGTATTTTTTCCTGAATTAAAACTACAGAGGCTTACGGTAAGGCAGTTCGTATTGTAGAGGTTGACTTTGAATTTTGGAGGTAACAGTGCGAATTACGGCAACAAAATTCAAATTGTAGAGGCTGCATAAAGCGTAAAAATCACTTTGAATTATCGGTATATTATTTTTTGAATTTTATTGGTTTTCTGAGGGGAGCAGACAATCATTTCTAACTATAGAGGTTTTCAGATTAACGAGGTTCGAATTAGCGAGGTTCTACTCTATAATGGTGAGTGAAGGCCACAAAAATATTTACAAATGAATATTACTTCGATTAAAATCTATGTAATTTAAATATAGTATACAACTGATATAGTAGAACTCCAATCATCTAGATAGCCATTTTCCCAGATACCTTTAGGAGCAAAAAATAAATCAATTTGGCCATGTAAATAGGGTTCATTGCAGTTTTCAGTAACCCCTTACATATTTCAATGCATGATTGGTCGATTCTATAGAAAGTGTCGTAACTTGCAGGGGGCAATGAGTCATCTGTCTAGTGTCATTACACTTTATATTTTTTTACTCTCCAGATTGATCTTGATACTTGGGAGTTCTACTGACTTTTTTTTACTGATATAGGACTTCTGCAGAGAGTAAGTTGAAGAAGTTATCACTACCTGTAGTCTAGTGAGTGGCCTCTTAGAGGTGGTGGTGTCCTGAGGAAAGATCTGCTCGGCGGCCAAGTACAAGTCCTTTCTGAACGTCAGTCCAAGAACATCCAAGTCCTCGCGGCCGTAGCGGAACGCAGCCAACACATGGCCGAACACCTTCCTCTCCTTCACATAGTCTGGGTCTATCAGGACCACTCCATCTGGAAAACAAATATTTGTTTGATAATCAGAAATGTCTGTACTTCTGCAATCGACTAGTTTTTCTAGATTTATCTGTAGTTGTAGCAGAGATTAGTCAGATTGAAAAGCAAATTAAAAAAGAAAATTAGGGTTGTCAGTAAATTAAGGTCTCCATCAAGCTTTGGTTGCAAACAAGCCAGGCAGATTAAATCTGAAACCAATGTTGTTTTCCTAACTTTATCAATTACTATTCTAGCTGTTTAAAATTAACATTTTTCTTAAAGCGGGTGAATCCAAAATGGCCGTTAGCCTTCAAGGTTTCCCTTGGAGCAAAGCCGTGTCAAATCATAAACCAATAAAAATTACAAAACAACAAGAATATATTACTTACCTCAATTCAGCTCAAAATTATGAATGGTGAAATCAGCTGAATTGACGTAAGTAATATATTCTTACAATAATTATCTACAGCTCAGGGGCTCAACAATGAATTTTAATAAAACAACAAACAAATTTCTTATCTCACACCGCCCTAAATATTTAAATTACAGTAATTTTGGAATTTATAATAAATATTTTGGGATGGAGCTCTTCAGTACCAGAATGAAATTAACGGTTATACGAAAATCGTGCCTAGTGAAAATAGCGCCCAGTGAAAATCAACTCAGGAATGTGTGCAAATTGCAACCGGTGTCTACCTTTCGAGACTGGCACATCAAGATTAACAAAACTCTTTGGGAGGAAACCAAACCCTAAAATCAAAGATGTGATCGACTGTATGAAGAAAGAATCATAAAACTCACCGAGTGTGTCTATAACATCAGAATTGAATATGGAAGGCAAAGTATATGAAACTTGACTGAAAAAAAAACAGTAAAATAGTTCAAGGAAGATGGTGACATCAGGGCTTGTTTAAAAATGATCTCCCACATCCAAAAACTAGATAAAAATCTTTATCTTAAGGTAAAAATGTGACAAAATTTAAAAAAAAAATATAAAAAAGAAAAACAAAATATTGACAATGCTTTTAAGCTGATTTTAAACACGCCTAAATGTCAAAAGATTACGTTTGTCATTTAGCCAGCCCAAAGCATGAAAAAAGTGTGATGGGAATCAGTTTTTTTTTTTTTTTTTTTTCGTTTTTAAAGAGGTTGGCGGCCTCTTTAAACCTTGCATTTGCCCGTCCACATAGACTAAGCGCCCGTGCGTGGATCGTTTACAGCAAAGCAAGGAGTGAGCTGGTACAGTACAAAGGTGAACTGTACTGATAAAATGTGATAAAATCGGCAGTGACCAGGATCCGAACCCACGACATCGCTGCCTTGGGCCCGAAGTCCGCGACGCTACCGACTGATATAGGCATGTAGAAGTATGTAGAAGTTTGTTTAACTTCTACATAAATATCCCATTGCGGCAAACCAGCACACTCAACAATGTTCATGAAAATAAAATGTATTCATATACTTAGAGGTTTTTATTTTTCACATGTTTTAGGTGTGGTCGAACTTTTTGAACTCTAGATAGAGACTGTGCTGGGCGCAATTTTCACTGGTCACGATTTACAGGACACCGAAATTAACATTGCCCTTATGGTGGGACAAATCAAGGACTCTATTTCACTCACACGGTTTAAACAAGAAAATGCTACAAACAATTCAGAATATTTTTCATTTAGTAGAAGAGGTATACTCTGATGTTTATGATTGATGGATTGAAGGAAATAGGTCGACTCTGGGTTTAGGCATGTCCACCAAAGCTTATTGTGCAATGCTTAAGAACATTAACTTTTAATTTAAATTTAAAAAAGAAACACTCACCAATTGGATCCACATTGCTTATGTGGTCTACGAAGTCTCTTTTCCCTAAATAAACGGTTATCTGTAAAAAAAAATTTAGGTCATAAGAATTTCAAAATCAGTTGAGGTATTAAAAAAAATAGTTTTTGACAAATTTTAAATATTAAAATTTGTATTAATAGAGAAACCTGAAGACCTTCCCTATCATATGCTGACGTAGGTTTACTCCATTAGTAAAAAATATGCTTTTAGAATTAAGTTCAGATATATTAAATTAAATCATATGCCTCAATTAGAAAGATTTCTTTGTCAAAAATTATGCAGGTAGACAATTTTAACACATTTGAATCCAAATAAAATTTCAGTACCTAACAATATTTTTTTACAGATGATATAACTGTTATAAGTTTGTGTTGTTAAACAAATGTGTAGCTCTTCACAATCAACTAAGTCTAAGACTGTCGAAACATAAAAATAAAACATTTACCTTTCCATTAGGTGAGCTTTTCTTGAATACCCTGCAAAAATAAACACATATTTAAATCAAAAATATCAAGAGAATATTTGTCACATTTATGACATTGATTGAACGAAATCATTATTTCTAAATTTGATACTTCATAAAAACCCAATACAACAGTGATATAGGCTTGAGAGGTGCAATGAGCAAGAATAAACGTAGTTTTGTTATCATCAACATAACTTCTATGAAACTAAATACAATAAAGGTTTTCTCAGTTACATCCCTTTTTCAGCTGTTTTACTTTAGCGATTTTTACAATTGACGTGTCATTTTCACAAGCTTATGATCTAGCAGAATGACGATTGGTAACTAAAAAGATAATTTCTAATTTCCTTTAGGGCTTAGCCTCCCTAGCATTTGATTTATTTCTAGTGTTCACTTTCAAAGATTCAGTGATGATGACCTGGTTCTTTATGATAGTTTGAGTATGTGTCCCATCTTAAATAATTGATTGATTGATTGATAATTGATGAATTTGAACGTGAACAGCAGACCCTTCAGTTGAATGTTTAACCACAGTCAAATTGTAAAAAAACAGTTAATGAAAATGGATTTTAAATAGACAAGTTTTCGATAATTGACCTGACTCAGATAAGTAAATCACGCGTTACAAGGTGTAGATTTAAAAGCAACAAATTCAATAAAGTATAGTGTAAATTTGTAGTTAGTATTATTCACCTAATAACTATCTGAAACCGACATAATCAAAGTAAATCGGTATTCCATTATTGATTTTGCTTTTGAATCAAGTTTCCATACCTATTTAAATGTGCAAATTGCACACGGAAACCTCGAATGCACATAAAAGATTAAAACAAAATCAATATTAGTCAAACTAGACTAACCTCGTTGCTTGTCGTTTACCGCTAGCGTCTTCTCCCTCCATGGTGTGGGAAATGAACAAATGATGTTACACTGTCGAGGGGGGTCTCAACCCCCTTCACTCTATCTGTAAACAAATTTATACATCAGCCACACAGCAGTTAGCACAATCTTCATAGAGGATTTGTGAAGTAGACATAAACTGTCTTTTGAAGTATACAATACACAGTAGTTTTTTATTATAATACATCACAAAGTAGGTAAATTGAGCCAAAGACAGAATACGCTGCTGTTAAATCCGGTTTTTGGTCTTATATAGGCCTCACAATTTTTTATCGCCAAGACTAAATAACTACTACAACTAAAAAATGAAAGAACGAATTATTATGGTGTGAACTACAACATATTTTATCGTTCAGAAAACTTGTAGAGAAAAATCAATTTTGACGTTGTGAGAGACTAGAGTACATAGATTCATTTAGCAATGTTTGCTTAGGAGTAAAAAAAAAAAATGCTTGGGTGCTGAATGGTGATGATAAACTTCGTTAGTTTGCAGTGAAAAAACCTAGGTACTATTTTTACGTCTTGCGATTACACAAAAACAATATTTTCCAAATGTACTAAAGCGTATTTAATTAAAACAGAAAATTAATATTTTCTGCCAATCAATTTATTATAATGAACGAGGCATTTTAAATTAGAAAAGAATAGTTAAAAGATGGCAAAAATTATGTATTATGCAGTAGAACCATCAGACAAAAATGCCAATTTTAGAGTGATTCAAAACTTGCCTTTATTTTTATAAGACAAAGATATTTCCTTTTTCAAGACACAAAATTATTCAATGACCTGCAAGTTTAATAATTTCAGTTTATTGTGGTAATCAAGGTGCCGCAGTGAATCTTGTCATCTATGTAAAAGCAAACTTTACTGTCTATTGTTGCAAGTTGCGAAAACTCTTTCTCAACACCTGAGAAGGATTTTGCTTAGTTTACTACAATCCAACCACAAACTGGTTTTTAACTATCAAAACTGATACTCAATCGAATCGGCGATTTTCTGGAACAAAAGATCATTCCACAACAGGCAGGCTTTCAATCAGGCAAGTCTTGTTGTGGCCAAGTTTTAAACCTGACCCAGCACATTGAGGATGAGTTTGAGAGAAAACAGATCACGGGTGTCGCTTTTGTAGATTTAACAGCTGCCTACGATACCGTAAACCATCGAAGACTCTTGGGAAAAGTGTACAGTATTACCAAAGACTATCAGCTGACTTCACTGATAGGCACTTTTCTTCATAACAGGCGGTTTTTCGTGTCCCTTCAAGGCAAGAAAAGTAGATGGAGAAATTAAAGAAATGGATTGCCTCAGGGTAGCGTCTTAGCCCCAGCTCTTTATAACATTTACACTAACGACCAACCGTTGCCAAACGCTACACGTCAGTATATATATGCCGATGATACGGCGGTGGCGGCACAAGGTAGGAGTTTTGAAGAGGTGGAACAGAAGCTGCAGTACTATGACACAAATCACCTCAACCCGAACCCTGCTAAGACCCAAGTTTGTGCCTTTCACCTAAACAATAGAGAAGCAGGCCGTGAGTTGAATGTAAGGTGGCGGGGAGACCGTCTTCAGCATTGTCCTACACCCAAACATCTTGGTGTCATACTGGACCGCACACTGACATTTAAGGCGCATTGTATTGCGGCAAGAGAAAGTCTCAGCGAGGAATAATAATATTATCAGGAAGCTCACCAGCAGATGCTGGGGTGCTAACCCTAATGTCCTCCGAACCTCAGCTTTAGCGCTCAGTGTGTCGGCTGCGGAGTACGCTGCACCAGTATGGAATGCATCGTCACATGCAAAAAAGGTTGACATTGCAGTCAATGACATGGCTCGGATTGTAACTGGGTGTTTGAAACCAACCCCAGTACACAAACTCTATCCTATCATAGGGATCGCCCCTCCATCAATCCGACGTGATGTCGCTGCTGACGCAGAAAGGACTAAGCAAGAGACAGACCCTCGTCACCCATTACACGGCCACCAACCTGCAGAGCTACGGCTTCGGTCCAGAAAGAGCTTTTTATCACGGACACGAGTCTTGGATGGATCACTCTCAAGCATTCGGGTGGCAAGGTGGGAGGCTTGTTGACTAACCCTCCCATACCAGCCAGGGAGGAACTGGCTCCTGGTGGAGGCCTTCACTACACGGTGTGGAAGACCCTAAATCGAATTAGGGTCGAGGTACCAAAATGCACAACCAAAGACAAACATGCAGAAATGGGGTCTCTTACCAGACGAAGGAAACATCTTGTGCGCGTGTGGTGCTGTTCAGGATCCTGGCCATCTGCTGATCTGCCCACGCCTAGACCAGTCTTGCACATTAGATGATCTTTTACATGCGAATGACAAAGCCATATCGGTAGCTAATTTTTGGAAAAGTAAAGTCTGATTTCCGGACACGGAAAGTAAGTAAGTAACTATCAAAACAGTAGTGTTTTAAGCCAATGTCATTAAATAACGTATTGAATTTTTTTTTTTTCAGTTAAAAAAAGGTCCCGAGGAGAAGTATGTTAATTGTTCCATGGTAAACAATTTGAACTACATTGATCTTTAGCAAAATACATTTATCTTATTTTACAAAGTAAGATTTAACATGGCTATGTGATCCATCAGAGTGTTATTTGGCATTTTTTAAACATTACTGTAGTTTTACGACATAGGTTTTCAAATATCAATTTTTTATTCAAGGAAGATTCTTTAAAATACTTAGTCTTTTGGTACATGTAACATGCATATTTAGTGGTAAACATTTTGGGCAGAATATTCAGCACATGGATTAGCTTAAGCCCCCTACTATGATAATATTTTTAGCAACAGCACAATGATATAATTAATTATTAAATAAATTAGTAAAAAGTATTAAAATAGTTTATGTTTTTATCAATCAAACACCGGTATTATTTTTCTTCACTTAGGAATAAAATTTTAAGAAAAGTTTATGAATATTTCCATGTTTTTCTGGTTAATTATTTACATTAGTTGGATTTATTTGAAACAACACAGATCCTCTTCATTTCATGTAATACATTATGCATTTAATAAAATAATTTTGTATATTACTTCAGACAAAAGCCTGTATAGGCTTTAGACAGAGAGCCACTTTGACATTATGTCCCATATCAAGTTCTGAGCCAAGCATTATTTACTTTGATGCATTAGCCCCAACTGATGTAATTATGGTGACCTAAATTTATCGCTTGTTACCCTTTATTACTTCTGGTATCACATTGTATAATTAAATGCCTCAACCAGAAATTATGTTCAAACTTCATCCTAAGCTTCCAATTTATTGTACCATAGTCCCTTCTACAACTTCAGCTTTTAGAGTTTCTGTTGTTTTAGCACAATAGAGTTGAATGCTGACAAGGACAACAAGTTTTAAATATTAGTTTAATGTTCTAGATACAGTATATTTTTAATAATGTAGGTTATAAACATTGGAAAAACTTTACTCAGAAGGCTTACAGATCCCTTAATAGCAACAACTAACGTAGCAAGAATAGTGTGTACTAAAAAACTTTTATATATTTTTCAGAGTTCAGCAAAACAGGTCACAATAACTAATATACAACTTCTTAATTAGTATTGTAGGTACGTGTTATTAAATTTACAGAAAGTAAATTAAAATATGTCTACTAACACATGAAACATATTAACCCTTATACTGTTAATTCTCAAGACGGTAAATATATATGAGGTTATATATGGTGATCGATTTCGATTGGACACTCCAATCATCATCAGACCCACCTGTGCCTATTTGGAGTGTCCCATAAAAACAATCACCAATTACCAACTTATATATTTACTTGTGAGTTCTGAGTTAACACTGTAAGTATAAATATATGTTAAAAGTGTCATTAGATTTATTTTTATTACTTTCTGTAAATAATAGATATATCCCTCTATTATACGATTTTTAACCATTTAAACTAAATTTCTATGTATGGCCAATACACAAAATGACCCCGCCGCAGCAAACCTGCAGACTAAGCGAATTTCCATTTGCCTGAATTTATTTTAAATTCAATCTATTTAAATATCATTAGGTTTAACAAGTACCTATCTAGGTTTGCTGCTACAGGGAGGCTAAACACTTTTTAATGATATATTAGTAGCTTAATATAAAATAAATAATAAATAATTATAAAATAAATAAATAAATTTGCAAAACTCTATAAAAATATTTCCGCAAATAAGCAAACTACAACATTTTATAATATTTCTTATAAGAATAACAAGGGAATTTTAATTTGCACTTTTTTGAATTTTCTCCGTAACCAATAACCGTACAGAAACACTTTGATATAGTAAATTATTTGTTTTTTAAGCTCTTTAAAATGGTCTAAAGAGAGAAATCGGGAAATGTTGTTTTTTGAGGGTCAATAATTAGAAAAACCAGTTTTTACCCCATAAAACCCCCCGTAAAACCCTGTTCCCATGGTTCGATCAAGCTGGTTAGCGAATTTATTCAAGTTTATCCTGCCTTACACCTTCAAACCAAATTTTATCAAGAACGGAAAAAAATTACTCAAGTTATTGGATTTATATATATATATGTATATATATATATATATATATATTATAGTTCTGTTCACTTTTTAGGGCTACTTTTTCAATTAATAAGCAAAATAATAAAAACTAGAGTACCCTGAAATTCATTTTTATTTAAACTTATACGTATTTTGACACTAAGGCCATGATCACAGTATCTGGTGATAAGTATATTTTTTTTATACATTTGAATGAATAGTGTTTTTGTCCTCTAGGTACATCAAAATAAAAAAGTATATCGTCCTGGCTCCAGGTCTTATCGTGCCCCCTATGGTAATAGCTACTACCCTATAGGGAAATTCGCTAAAACGATAGAAAGAAAATAAACACAAAAGTTAAAAAAAGAAAAAAAATCTAGTGCTAATTGGAAACTTGAAATAGTTACACCTGATTCCTGTGGCAAAGGTCTTAGATTCATAATGGGACACAAAGTACAAATAAGATGAAATCAACTTAAAAAATCAGGGTGAACCAAAATCAATCAACATTAGGACGATGATGAAAGAA